TGATTTGAATAAGTAATTGAATAAATGAATACTAGGGAAACAGGGAAAGTTCTTCCTTAAGTAGAATTCCAACTGATAAGTGTAGAATGAATAGTGAAGATAGAAAAATCTCCATTTGATGAACAGTAATTGTTTTAGGCAAGAATCATCAATGGATACTAAACTTGGTGGGCAAAAGTATCATGAGAAACAGGATATTTACATAACCTCAAATTATCTGTCCACCAGATACTTACAATTTTCCAAGGGAAAAGTAGTAACATTACAGGGGAGAACCTAGTAGACACCATGTTAATCAGTATACATCACTATCAACATAGTTTATCTCCTGATCTGATGTGCTGAGAGAGGCGTGTGATCACTTCTTTGTTAGTTTTGCCCAAAACACATAACTTGAGTCTAATCAGACAAATCCAAATTGAGAGTTATTCAACAAAATAACTGGCTAGTATTTTTACAAAAATGTCAAGGCGTTGAAAAGAAAGGCAAAGACAGAGGAACTGTTCCAGATTAGAGGAGACAAAGGGGACATGACAACCTTGGCAACCTGAGAATGTACTTGGAGTGTAATTAGCCAAGTTCCCCAGCTGCTGCCATCTGAAATCCTTTTGCATGGAGGCAACACTTTTCATGGGCTGCTTCCAGCCAATGACTGAGGATGGCAGAGATACTAAAGCAGACCTGTTCCTGGGAGACAAGGGATTGGATCAAGGACTCACTGGAGGCCTTGCTGAGCCTTCTTCCTCAGACTGCATGGCAGTCTAAGAGGCATCTACCCAGCTTTCCCTCCCTCCTTCACTCAGTGTCAGACTCGAAGTCTGAGGCTCTCCCAGTCTTTACCAGCTACTTCCCCATTTTCCCTCATTAAAATCCTTGGGGTTTTAATCCCATTTTGGCATCTGCTCCTTGGAGGACTGAGACTAAACTGTCATGTGTGTTCTTGGATTGGATCCTGGTCCAGAAAATGGACATTAGTGGGGCAGTTGACAAAATTTGAATAAAGTCTGTGGATTAGTTA